TATTGAGAATAGTGGAGTTTGAGATGACCACCTTCTCACTATCGAGAGAAATTTGCCCAATTTAGTCTTCAAATCTTAGATGGTGATTTTCAGAATCTAACCCAAGAGTGAAGACAAGCTAATTTCCATGCATTTTGCATCTCATTAGTACCTCAACCTACTGTATTACCATTAAACTGCTAATCTTTCTCTCTTTGATCAAGAGACAAAAAAAGTGTGCAAAACATCCAACAGCTCCTCTCACACACTCTAACTTGTCCCCTTCTGAAATTGCAGCACTTCACTCTCTTAGGCCCAACCCTAACGTTGTTATCAAACCAGTCAACAAAAGAGGTGCTGTTGTAGCCTGCTCTTTACCTTGCCAAGGCTCAACGCTGATTCTCGGACACTTCTTCCTACTGCTCCCTCGACCATGATCACATCCGATCATCAAGCCATTGCTGCCAGGACTGTCGCTGACCTCATTATCTCAGGAAATCTTCCCCCCCCACTGCCTCTAACCTTATAGTCTCCCAACTCTGGGCAGCCCATTTCTACCTCCTTCCCAAAATCCACAACCAGACTAACCCTCTAGGCCGATCGAATCAGCCTGTTCCTGCCCCACTGAGCTCATTTCCTCGTATCTTGACTCCATCCTGTCTCCACTTGTTCAGACCTTGCCCAGCTATATCCATGATTCCTTTGATGCCCTCCACCATATTGACAATTTCCAGTTCCCTGGCCCTGACTGCCTCCTGTTCACCATGGATGTCCAATCCCTCTATATCTCTATTCCCCACCAGGATGGTCTGAGAGCTCTCAGCTTCTTCCTTGACCAGAGGCCTGAACAATCCCCATCTACCACCACTCTCCTCCACCTGACTGAATTTGTTTTCTCACTGAATGATTTCTCCTTTAAGTCGTTTCACTTCTGCCAAGTCAAAGGAGTGGCTTACAGGCACCCACATGGGTCTCAGTTGTGCCTGCCTCTTTGTGGGGTACATGGAACAATTCTTGTTCCCGTCTGACACTGGCCCCCTTCCACAACTCTTTTCCTGGTACGTCAACAACTGCTTCAGCTTCACACTCCTGCCTGCACCTCGAAAACATTGTTCATTTTGCCTCCAATATCCATCCCTCTTAATTTCATATCATCCATTTCCGACACTTCCTTTCCTTGACCTCTCTGAATCCATTTCAGGGAATAAACTGACCACTGCCATCCACTACAAAGCCACTGACTTCCATAGCTACCTTCACTACAGCTGTTCACACCTCACGTCCTGCAAGGACTCCATCCCATTCTCCCAGTTCCTTCCCCTAAGTTATATCTGTTTGGATGATGCCACTTTCTAAAACAGCACTGCTGATATGGCTTCCTTCTTCCATAACAGCGGTTTCCCCCCCACTGTGGTTGACAGGGCCCTCAATCTCATCCACTATCACCCATGCATCCGCCCTTGCCCCTTCCCACACAACAGTGTGATTGAGGCCCCCTTGTCCTCACTTTACATCCCAACAGCCTCTGCATTCAAACGATCATTCTCCATCATTTCAGACAACTCCAGCAGAACACCATCACCAAACACATTCTGCCCTCACTCCTCCTGTCTGCATTTCACAGAGATCATTCCTTCTGGACTCCCTAGTCCATTCCTCGAGCACGAACACCACCCCATCTTCCCACGGCACCTTACTATGTAACCGCAGAAGGTGCAACACCTGCTCCTTCAGCTCCTCCCTGCTCACCATCTAAGGGCCTAAACAGTCTTTCCAGGTGAAGCAGCAGTTCACCTGTACCTTCTTCAATCTTGTGTATTGTATTTACTGCACCCAATGTGGCCTACTGTACGTTGGAGAAACCAAACATAGACTGGGTGACTGCTTTGCGGAACACCTCCAATCTGCGTGCAAGCAGGATCCTGACCTTCCTGTATCTGATCATTTTAACACAACATCCCATTCGCATGCCCATGTGCCTGTCCTCGGCATGCTGCAGTGTTCCAGCGAATCACAGTGCAAACTGGAGGAACAACTTCTCATCTTCAGACTAGGCAACTTACAGCCTTCTGAGCTTAATATTGAGGTCAAACACCTTTAAACTGTCAACCATTTCTTCCCTTTCCTTTACCTTGTTATCACATCCTCCACTCCGCCCCCTCGTCCTAGTTACTGTCCTTTCAAGTCTGACAGGAGACCCACCATTGCTCTGCCATTCTCACATTCCGAGCACTTAACCTGAACGATTAACATCTCTTCTCCACAAGCACCCTATACCCACTACCCCCACCCCCATACCATAGCATAAATGTTGTCCCCTCCACACTTTTCATCAGCTCTGATGAAGAGTCATCTAGACACGAAACGTTCGCTCACTCTCTCTCTATGGATGCTGTCTGACCCGCTGTGATCTCCAGTATTTGTTGTTTTCAGTGATGTTAGAAGGTACTGTTTCACTCTGAGTAGTTGGGATATGTATGGAATGCACTGACTGGAGGTTTGGTGGAGGCAGATTTCAACTGAGGCACTGCTAGGACTCGTAGTTTTTGCCGGGTCGCCATGAGCTCAGGGACAGCTCATGTATCGAGACAGGATTTTTCACACTGACGTGCTATAAGTCTAAGCTTTCTTTTTAGCATTCACTGCCTTTAGTGCTTACTTAGAAGCACCCAGTGTCTGAGGGTTCACTTGCTTTTATTTGGGGAAGGAGAGGCAGGCAGTTGTTAGCAGTGGGGAGTGCTGAACAGAACATTTGTCAGGGGGCAGAGGGTGGCTATGTCTCAATATGGCACCACACCATGTCATCATCAGAGCTGCAGCATGTGCCAAAGACATTGGTGGCAAAGACATTGCATGTGCCTGAAGTCTTCGTCAGTGTGTGATAACCATAGGGGAGGAGTTCTTAGTGGGGTGTGGGTGAACTATAGTCAGTCAGGGGTTACCACTGCAGTCAGTCCATAGTGGTTGGTCGTGGTCAATGAGGTGCTTGGTCCTAGGCAATTCCAGTGATCCATGGATCAGGATACAGTTAGTTCACAAGTGCAAACAGACCAGGGCATATAGGGTGCAACTGAGAGGCCCTTTCAGGGGACAATCCGTGGTGTCCTGGAGAAAGCAGGCAGCTCAAGTCTAAGAATGAACTCCATTGTTTTGGGTTGCTGAGGGAATGGTCACAGTAATGGGTGTAATTGGAGGTAATAGAGTGGGTGCTCAGGTTAAATGGGAGGAGGAATTGGAAGCTCTAAAAGCGGAGGTTTGTGCAAGTCAGGTGTTACTCTGGCCTCTACAAAGGTACGATGTGGGACCAACAAAGGCATCCTATCGACTATGCAACGTTATGGACTTTGGGGGTAAAGTGGGCACATTTATAGTATTGTACAGGTACTCAAACAGGGAGGGGTGAAACGGTCATCAGGGTACAGGAACAGCAGCACAAAAGGGAATGTGAAGAATTATGGAAAATCCATGGCACTTGAGTGGATTGTGCAGGTCACTCTGAGATGGTGCTAAAGTTATGTAGCTATGAAACCATCAGTGAGGATATGACATCTGAATGTGTGCAGTACAGTCCCTCATAACAGCCACCAGGTTGTTGTGAATTCTGAGGAAGCTGCTTCCATCAGTGGTAACCCTTCAATGTTTCAGAATATGTACAGACTGTTCAGTTGAGGTGCTATGTGTGAACACCCTGTATGACAGAGTGGAGGGTATAGGTGAACATATTACCAGTGCATCCAGTCACGGTCAACAAAATTCCTCCTCAGAGGTGGAGCTGAGAGTCTGAGGCGGATTTCTTCTCAAAGTTCCCTGGATGCCGCTCGTACCTGCATAAGAGAAGAACAGAAATGTGTCAGAGAAGATGGATCAAAGGTTGTGCAGAAGCTGTTAGGACCTGGAGAGCAGCATAACACAATGGAGTTGAGTCGGCTGATGGCCTATTGCTGCCTCCCTGTCACCACAAGTAGGTCTACCTTCCCCGGGCAGTTCAACTTGTCCTTATCAGAATTGAGGAACCTGACGTCCACCACATTGCCTCATTTTCTTTGGACATTTCAACCCATTTGTAGTCCAGTTAGTCCTTCAATGAGACAAGAAGATGAATTCAGTACATTAGAAGTAGTTGCAATAGCATTTAGTGATCATGCACGACAGGAGAGGTAGTGAGATCTCCTCAATGAGTGAGTGGCATGTGCAGAAGATAGGAAAGGGTTGTATTTGTTGAGGATGAGGTGGGTGAGAGCCCTGGAGTAGACGTGATGCATGTGATGCTGAGGGTTGTAATCCATCACCCTTGGTAAGGATGGCTTCTTTCTGCATCAGCTAAGAGGAAGACTGGCCTTCACAACTTCACGTCATCGACCAGCACATCAAAGATCCATTCCAGGAAATGTGGACCCAGCTAAGCTTTCTTCAGTGCCATGTGGTCACAAATGTAGAGGCAACTCCACAGTCTGAGGGGATATTCCTCGCCTGCAGCATTGTAATTGGTGTCCAGCTCATCCTCAAAGATATCTGCACACCTGGAAGCTGGAGGGCTGCAGAAGTGGTGAGAACTTTCATCTCACTTGGCATGAGCTTCAGCGAGTGCACTTACATTAATAATCAGGTGAAAATAAATAAAGAATCAAGTCAGATAGCTCAACCCATTCCATGGAATGTAATGACACTATGGAAACCACTTGTCACCACATTTTAACAGCAAATTCCAACCAATGAGCCTAATTTGAACTGGGAATAGATGTTGAATCTAAGCAACAAAGACAAATTTAATTGAAGAGCCTCCCTGATGAAGGGAATAGTTTATAACTCATGAACAATTGAATGTTTCATACTATGATCCTATGTTCTTTTTTTATGAAACTAACTTCCCTGTACCTAACTGTAAGTAATTTATAAAGTAATGTCACAGAAAGGGCTTGGCTGTTCATCATCTGATTTCAGAATCATCATCTTCCCTTACAG